TACTGAATTTTCTAATATTTACAAATATCTAGATGTGGTCATCATTTAGCCACAATGTTTTGGCATCATGTAGACTCAGACTTTGACTGCTTTCAATGGGTTCTTTGACTGTTCTAAGAAAAGGACAAAGTTCAAGTCATGGAAAAAGGATGTAAGCCTAAAACCACCATGAATGTGGGCAATTCATCTAAGTTCAGCAACTGGTGTGGTCCTGTTACCTTTCATGCTGTAAAACTTAGAAGGGGAAAAAAGAGAAATGTAACGGAAGTCATAAGTATAAAGAACAGGGTGGATATTGTTTGGATTTGAAGGTCAAGTATACAGCGTTTCTCCATCCTACTATAAAAAGTCTAGTTCTGGGCAGTCTTGCATAGAAACCATTACTCATTTCATTGCCTTTTTGAGAATCTGACCCAGTATTGTAACATAATGTCTGCGTAAATCTGTGTTTATCTTAAAGATAATCAAAAGACCATAGAAACCATATAGTTTTATTATATAGGCATGAATCACCATTTATAATTTTTGTTTTTGAGACAGAGCCTCCTTCTGTTGCCCCAGGCTAGAGTGCCATGGCATTTTAGCTCAGAGAAACCTCAAATTCTTGGACTCAAGCGATCCTCTTGCCATAGCCTCCCAAGTCGACTACAACCTCCTGCAAGACACCTAGCTCAGTTTTTCTGTTTTTAGTAGAGAGGGGGTCTCACTGTTGCTCAGACTGGTCTTGAACTCCTGAGCTCTAACAATCGACCCGCCTCCACCTCCCAGAATACTAGGGATTACAGGTGTGAGCCACCGTGCTCGGCCATCATTTATAATTTTTGTATAAGTTTTCCCATCACTATCAGTATATCACAAATAATGCACTAATAGCTATTGCTATCAATGTCTCATTTTTCTCTTCTTTTTTTCAAGTGAATCTTCTTTAGAGATTATGATGATTTCAGGGGAAAAGGCAAATCTGAAATTTTACAGGAATATAGAATAAAAATTATAATTGACTCATTATAAACAATTCTGATTCTTCTCCCACGCTTATTTGGTAGCATATTCTTGTAGAAGAGATCAATCATAATTTCTTCCTTTGTAACATATTCTTAGATTAAATAGAAACCTGTCAAATAGACTACATACAAAAGTTGTGGATTTTATGAGACCCTATTTGGTGAAATTGTATCACAAGAGAGTACAGTCCACTTACAGTTGAAAACACTGCTGCCTGAAATAATACAAATTGATGTTACCATCTGTATACATAAGCTCAGCGTCTACATTTTCACACCAGATAATCAGAATGGTGATAATAATTAGCACTTATTAAGTACTATTTTTATGGTTTTACGATTAGTATGTCTTCTCTTTTGTCATTAAGCAAATCATAAAGATACTAAATCATTTGGTGAATCTAGAATAAACAGAATGCTTATTTAACTCCAGAATACATAATTTATTAAGGAATGTTTGTTCTGAAATGGCGTCTCTACTTACAATCCTACGTTAAATTCTCCTTGCGGGTTGACACAGCATGTAGAAGTTGAAGTAATGTCTTAACCATATAAAAACTAAATTACGCCCAAAGAAAATTAATGCCTCTCTAAACTTTAATCCACCCAGATTCAATGTAGTTAAATTGATTCCAGGTTGTTTTTTCTTAAATAACATGTGTTGTTTTTTACCAAAAGCATAGGTAAGATGTGAGAATATGGAAAAATATTAAACATTTTACACCACTGGATATTTACTGTAGTTTCAATACCAGCTATGTCATTGCAAGGTTTAAATAACAGAAACAGAAAATAAAACACCTAAGAGCAGGATGAGATTCAAAGCTGAACTTATTTAATATCAATTGCAGCTGTCCCCAGCTAGGAAAAACAAAATCGTAAATTCAAATAAAGAAAACAGAATACTGAGGAATCTGAGAAATAGATTTAGAAAAAGGTGTCTGATTTTAACCCAGATGTTGTCACCACTGACAGTGGAGAAGATAACCTAAGCAGTTCATAATTTATATTGTTCCTGGACATAAGGGTCTCCAAAAGACTGTTCTCTCTGTTATGGAGCAACATAAAAAGCCCTGCTAAAGACGTTCATCTAAAGAGGAGACGAAATGAAGTACATTTGAAAGCAGCAGAAAATAGCTACTCGCTCATATGCCAGGGAAATACTGTCTTTTTTAAATGAAAAGGTTCGGCAATGACATTTTTTGAAGTATAGTTTGCTTGCACAGTGATTTCATATATAAGCCTCCAAAAACATCTCTAAGATATTTGCATGTAGGAACAAATACTTTCTACAATTTGCAGTATTCAAAGTGGAATGTAATTTTACACTGGATAAGTATTTTCAATTTCTAGAATTATGATATAGCAAGTCATTCCTTTAATGTTTAGAATTGAGGATATATTTGATAAATTGTTGAATAAAAAGTATATTGTTCTTAAAATATCATTACATTTAATATTACCATAAATCAAAGAACATATTCCTATGTTTTCTCTTTTTATTATTTATTTATTTATTTCATTTCTTTTTTCTTTTGCAGTTTTTGTCTAGGGCTGAGTTTGAACCTGCTACCTCCAGTATATGGGACTGGTGCCCTACTCCTTTGAGCCACAGGTGCCGCCCATGTATTTTTATTTTTTTGAGACAAAGACTCAGTTTTTCATCCTCCGTAGAGCACTGTGGCTTCATAGCTCATAGTAACCTCAAACTCTTGGGCTCAAAGCGATCCTATACCCTTAGCCTCCCTGGTAGCTGGGACTACAGGTGCCCACCACAATGTCTGATTATTTTTAGAGATGGGCGTCTCACCCTTACTCAGGCTGGTCTTGAACTTCTGAGCTCTGGCATTGCCCACCATGGCCTCCCAGAGTACCGGGATTTTTTCCCCTAGTTTATTGTTGTTCTTGTTGGTTCACCTGGCTACCTACACATTGGCCTCTCTGATACCAAGGTAGGATTACAGATTAGAATTGGAGGGAAGGAATGAAGGGCCTACCTTTCATGAAGTTACTATTCAGTCAGCAGTTAGTTAAATATATTCAATTTTGAATAGCTTCTGCCTCTGGTGGTCGGCCTTTTCCATTATCAACAGCTCAGAGTGCCCCGAATTTCAGTCTTATGTTGAGTCTGCGTAGCATTGATACTTTGCAATCAGTTAGATGATGGCGAAACGAATGACACATAATTCAGATCACATCTACTAGATTATCTATCATTTCTCTCTGGAACTAATAACTCTCATTTATTTCAGGTATTGCTTACACAAATAAAACTCTTTCCTTTAATCCTATTTCTTTCTGCCTCCTTTTCTTCTTTCCTTCCTCTCTTCCTTTCTCCCTTTTTTTCTTTGCTGTAGTTGGGTAGGAATGGGTGAGGTCAGCCCAGTATCTTACTTCATGTTTCTTACCAGGAAATCAGAAAAGCATTGTTAATAAATGAATAGTTTTATATATAGGATAAGTAATATATGGAAAGGTAGACATTCAATTTAATACTTGTTGACCTGTAATATGAAAGATAGATACCATGTGAATTTTGGATGATGAACAATATTTCTTTAGGGATGCTGATTATGGTAGATAATTAGATACAAATTATATATGTAATATATATATTTGATGTAAGTTTTAAGAGCAATTCAAGCAAAATATAGACATAAACTTTATAAGAATTTCTTAGAGATTGCATGTGAACCAGCTCTAAGACTGGCTACTGTTCTGTCAAGGGATCGTGTAGTTGCAGGTATGGAGAGCAAAGGCAACAAAGGCCAAAGAGTAGACTAGTAAAGAGCGTGCTTCATTCCTAAGAGAGGACATGAGGAGAAGAAGTGCTGGGCTGGGATCTGAACTGGAGTGCTAGTCACCTGAACTTTAATGTAGGTTAAAGAGTTTGAGTTTTATTCTCTGCTGCAATCATAATTTTGGTGATAAAATAAGGCAGTAAGAGAGATGGATAAAGCAAGACTATCACACAGCTAATCTGTGTTTCACAGGCTAACAGTTGGGAGAGAGGAAAGGTCTGCACTGCAGCTCTCTTTCCATGGAAGGCAGTGAAGTGTGTGTGTGTGTGTGTATATATATATCAGAGGATATATATATCAGACAGGCTATATATATATATGGACACAGAGAAAAACTAAGCTGACCCTTTTTAAAAAACATGAATTAAATTAATTTTACCATATAACCTCAATGTTTTGTTTCTGCTTTCCAATTTGCTTTTTCTGTGGGTAGACAACTACTCTATGTTAGAGCTATACTTCAAGTGACAGAAATACTCTGATTAATGATGATGCTAAATATAAATCCGAATCAGTGCTTCAGACTTTCTAGTGCATATTTGGTGGGAGACTTTCATCAGCATCCACAAAATGCAGAATGTGCTTCCATGGAAGGGGAGCTGAGTGCAGACCTTTCCTCTCTCCCAAATGTTAGCCCCTGAAACACAGATTATATATATATCTCAGCTCTAAAATACTTCAGAGGGTAGATAGTGAAGTTAATGACTTAATGGTCAAAAGTATGTATTTAAATTTTTAAGTAAAAAGAGGCCTCAACAGCCCAGCAAGTTAAACTGTATGATTCCCCCAAACTCCTGCCAGTTGGCCACTGTGGCTACTCTTCTAGCTAATGGCTTAGAGGAAATGAAACCACTTAAGAAAGACTTTGTAAGAGTAAAATCATTTTTATTTAATATTGATCTTTCCAATTGACTATTACGGGCAAATAGATCCTACCAGACCAATTTGTTTAGATAAGTTGTTTCTCTAAATTGTTTTCTTAAGAGTATGCCATCTTGAGTATAAAATCACCAAATGGGACTATAACTCTAATTTCAATGAAATGTAAATATTTTGGTTCCTATATACTTCTTAGTACCGTGAAGAATAAGCACTGAATAATAACTGCGGCACACAGTAGTGAGGTTACCACGTGTGATAGTCTGTGCTCAGGACCTCACGTTAACACCCAATGTCTTGCTTTGTTACCTTGCAGAAATGTTGGAATCCAACAACGTGATCAGTTTTAATGGCTTGGCCAACAGCTCTAGTTATCATACCTTCCTTTTGGATGAGGAACGGAGTAGGCTGTATGTTGGAGCAAAGGATCACATATTTTCATTCAACCTGGTTAATATCAAGGATTTTCAAAAGGTATCTTTATTTCAATATATGCACTATAGTTCTTTTAATGCATCTAAAGATAAATAAAACTGTCCAGCCGTATGTGCTTAACAACACTGAAAACTGACAGAACATTGTTTTGAATTAATATTTTACCTTATCAGATGCAATTAGAAATGATAATAGCAAATTAATGAATGTAGTATACCATAAAAATTATCAAAAAAAAAACCCCACAGTATTTTCAATAATCATGGTAAGGCATACTATACATTCAGCTTATAATTTCATAGTTATATAATTTTTTCTACGTAAAATTAAATGCTATTATAAATTTAGGTCATAATTGATTCCTATACCATGTATATGTATGCATATAAATTTATATATCTCTCTATTGCCAGTAAATGCTGGGTTCTTCAAGCCATTACGCACATGCCTATTTTGGCATGCTACATGTATTTATATACATTCATTCATTGTATTATACATTTCTGCTTTATGGAAATGGTTACTGTGGAAAAGACTATTAAACTTATATATATTTTTGTTCCTCCTCAGACTCATGCTTATTCTCATTAAATCATTCTCCAAAAGAACATTTCTACAAAAAAATTATTTTACTTATGTCAGATATCTAAATATTTAGTATTATCATTTATTCTTGAACTTTTGAAAGTTTAGAATACAGATCCTTTTAAGTATGAGAATATTTAACATGAATTCTATAAAAATGATTTTTATTATTTGACAGAAGGGAGAATCACAAAATAAGGCCCATACTGTCTCAATGACCAATAATTAAGATCTAAGAAACTATGAGGAAACAGCTTGCCTTTAAAAATGTAAAATTAAAAACATACATGTGTTTAGAGTATATATATATAGAAAACATACATGTGTATATGGCATACACATATACTGTATGTATTTATATATATAATTTACACATGCATGTTTTTATAGATACTGTGTATATATATAGTATACACATGTATGTTTTAGCACAATTCAGCTGAAAAGCTAAATATGAAAGTTAACAAATATTAACTTAATAAAGCTAACTGTAATGTATTATTGCTTTGCTCTACAGAAGCAAAACAATGAACTTATGTTACATTACGAGCTTTAAGTAAGAATAGATTATTTAACCTTTAGATAGCCAATTTGAAGATAAAACTGTAGAATGGGACTGCCCAGTAATTGCTCTAGAACTTTAGGAGTCAGGATAATATTAATTGTAGGGGCAATAGATTTACTAACCTGGAATGTTTTATGTGATTACTGTGTGAAAAGGTACATGTGAAAAAGACAGCACATGAAACAAAAAGAATACTCAAATTAAGAACTTGCTGGAAAAAAACGAATGCATAGCCAAGAGTTTTTAGAGCTTTTATAATTTTGACATGGAACTGAAATGCTTTTATCATCATGATACATCATTTCAATATGTACCAAATGCTTGTATTATATTTTGCATTTTAATTCCCTAGATTGAACATCACAGCCTTTGCCCAAGTTTGTAACCATTTACATTGAATTATCCAGAGGTTCCTAAATGAATGATCATCAGTCTTGAGACTAAAAGCTTTCCAGCAGACATGAATGATTAAGTGCTATCATTTCTGAATTTTTCTTTTATATAGAACATTTTTCCTCTGAAATTAACTAATACTACTAAGGGAAAGATGGATAAAAAAAGCAATAAATTATTCTGCCCCAATACTTATAAGAGCCATTGGAATTTCTTAGGGGATTTTATATTAAAATTTAGATGAGAGATTTGGATTAATATCATTGAAGGAAATGCATACAGTGTCCTCCAAGCCACCACTGACATTTTGTCTCATCTCCCACTGTCACCATATTCACAGCGTATAAGATGAAGAACAAATATTAACATTGTAAAAACTAATTATTTCTAAACTATTTAGTCCACATTGGAGAGGGTAATTTTCAAAAAGCTTTTTGCTATTTCCATCTACTTTTCTATTTAAAAAATATGCATTACTACTTTTTTTCCCTGATTAAAATAAAAGAAAGAAAAGATGAGAAAGCAAAAGTAAAGAAAAAAAAGAAAAGGTTCCCTTTGAAGATGGGTTTTTGTAATCCTTTTCATTGTTTAGTCTAGCATGTCATGCTGAGATTTGATCAGGGAAATAGATCCAGAATACCCAAATATGAAAATTTCAGAATCATTATTTCATAATAAACACTAATTTAGTCTGTAACCCCAGCACTTGGGAGGCTGAGGCGGGTGTATTGCCTGAGCTCATGAGTTTGAGAAGTCTGAGTCAGAGCAAGACCCCTGTCTCTAAAAATAGCTGTGGTGTTATGGCAGGGGCCATAGACCAAGCTACTTAGGAGGCTGAGGCAAGAGAATCACTGAAGCCCAGGGAGTTGAGGTTGCAGTGAGCTATGACGTCACAGCACTCTACTGAGGTGACAAAAATGAGACTGTCTCAAAAAGAAAATAAAATAAAAAATCTAATTTAGAGAAATATGAGTCATAGTTCTGTGACAATTTCTACATTTCACTAAATTACTACACTTATTCAAGAGGACCACCATCTCTCAACTTGTATTGTGGTTCTTTCCATCCTGCCTGCTCAGGTCCATGCAACATCATTTTCTCTCTCTCAGCTTCATATACCACAAAGGCTAGATGGGCAGAGAGAGAATGAATGATTCAAGTCCCTGCTAATGTCCCCAGGAAGTATTACCTGAAAGGTTCCTGCTACATAATGCTTTATGGAACTTTCTCCAGTTGTCTTGATCTCATCTAAACTATATAGTGTTGGATATCTTAGAGAGCTTAATTGCCATAAACCAGTGTTTTTTCTTTGTCCACAGATTGTGTGGCCAGTATCTTACACCAGGAGAGATGAATGCAAGTGGGCTGGAAAAGATATCCTGGTAAGCATCAGTCTACAAATTATTATACAGGTTGAATGCCCCTTATTAGAAACTCTTGACAGCAGACTATTTCAGGTGTTGATATTTTCAGATTTTGTAATATCTGCATCTAAATAATAAGATATCTTATAGTTAGGTCTCGATTCTAAAAATTAAAGTTATTTTGTTTCATATACATATAATGTGAAATTAGTTTTCCCTTGAGGATGTTGAAAAAATTGTTTCTGGGCTCTTGCATTTTGACTGTAATCCACTGAGTGAGGTCAAGTGTGAAATGTTCCACTTGTAGTATCATAGAGGTGCTTAAAAAATTTGCTTTTGATGAGATTGGCTGCAGTCAGGGTGGTATGGCGGGTTGGTGTATGGCACACCTTTTGGGGGTGGGACATAGTACAAGAGGGACTTTACCTAACAAGTGCAAACAGTGTAACCTAATTCTTGCTACCCTCAATGAATCCCAAACAATATAAAAAAAGAGAGAGAGAGAGAAACTTTTTGCTTTTGGAGCACTGCAGATTGTGAGTTTTTTGAATTAATGATATTCGACCTGTACTAATTACATAAGTAACTTATTACTCTGTCAGTTTTTTGTTCAGTGTTTTATTTATACCATGTTTTACTTGCAAACTTAATCATTCTTGAGGAAAAAAATTAATGCTATTCAATTCTGGAAGCAAAAGCCTATTTAGCTAAGGAAAGTGTGTTAACAATATTTGTAAATAAATAAAAATATAGTCCATTTGGAGATTTATATAAGCAAAAGATAATTAACAGAATATAATTTTATGGCATATATACTTATATTCAACAAATCAACTTTTATAGGTTGATTTTCATACATTAATTTTTTTTTGAATTCTTCCTGAGTATAACAGAATATTTCCATTTCTGAGCCCTGATTAAATTATCTTTCACTTTTTCTTTCTGTGCATTTTCCTTCCATTCTTTTCCTTTTTTTCTCCTTCTTTTCTTCCTTCCATGCACTCATTCCTTAAATCAATATGGATTAAGCAATGACCATATAGCAGGCATTGTCCTAAGCACTGTGGATCCAAAGATGAGTTGTGAACAGTGCCTATAATGCAGTGGTTTTATCATTGTAAAAACACAGAGACCTTTTTCCCTAAGGTAAATTGTCAGGAAAATTAAGTGAGTGACTACTTTGAGGTATAGCCACATGTTTTCATAGGTCATAAAAAGCAATTATAATCATGGAATAAACTAATTAACACAAAGCACAGAATTAAAAACATAATTTTATGTTATTTATGTATTGACATTTTGGGATGTACAAAACACTAAGAAATAATTTTATTTTTTAGCATTATTAACTTTTATATTAAATCATAACTGTGTATATTTATGGGGTATAATGTGCTGATTTGATATACAATGTAGAATGCTTACATCAAACTGATTACCATAACCATTGCTTCAATTATTTGTTGTGTAAGACATTTATACTCTTAATAGTTCTGAAATACACCATTGCATTGTGCACACTGGGTGGGGTCCTACCAAATACCGTCCCTTCGCCTGCCCCCCACTTTTCCCTCCTTCTTTTTGGACCAATTATATATTGGTTTCATAATAGAATTGAGTACATTGGATTTTTTTTTCCATTCTTGAGATACTTTACTAAAAAGAATATGTTTTAGTTCCATCCATGTAAACATAAAATACATTAATCTATAAATATAATACATCACATAAATAAGATAAAAAACAAAGACTGTATGATTCTCTAAATTTATACAGAAAAAGCTTTTTATAATATCCAGCATCCTTTCATGACCAGAACACTTAAGAAAATAGGTATAGAAGGGACATTTCTTAAACTGACAGAGGCCATCTACAATGAGCTCACAGCCAATGTCATTTTGAATGGAGTGAAATTGAAAACATTTTCACTCAGATCTGGAACTGGGCAATGATGCCCATTGTCTCCACTACTTTTTAACATTGCAATGGAAGGCTTAGCCATCACAATCAGGCAAGAGAAGGCGATCAAGGGTATCCAAGTGGGGTCAGAGAAGATAAAACTCTCACTCTTCTCAGATGATATGATCTTACACCTGGAAAATTCGAGGGACTCAACTACAAAACTCTTAGAAGTGATCAAGGAATAAAGCAGCGTCTCAGGATACAAAATCAATACTTACAAATAAGAAATAATTTTAATAATTTTGTCTCTGTTTTAAAGTATCAACATTTAATTTGAGTTTGTTGAAGATTCTAATTAAATGTTGATACTTTAAAACAGAGACAAAACTATTAAAATTATTTCTTAGTATTTTAAACATCCCAAAATGTCCATAATACATAAATAATATATTATCATAAGGACATTTGCACTAGATTGTTTATTGCAGGTCAGTTTACAATCACCAAAATGTGGAAACAACCTAAATGCCCACCAGCCCAGGAATGGATTAACAAGCTGTAGTATAGGTATACTACGGAATACTACTTAGCCAGTAAAAAAGACAGAGACTTTCCATCTTTTGTATTAATCTAGACTGAGTTGGAACACATTCTTCTCAGAAAGCATCACAAGAATGGAGAAGTAAGAATCCAATGTATTCAATTCTAATCTGAGGGCAGTAGATGAGTTAATACAAGGTGGGGTAGGGGAATGAGGGATTTCAGAGAAGAGAGAAGGGGAGTATGGGGGGCCACAATATTTGGCACACCTCTTGGGAGCAGGATACAATTACAACAAGGACTTTACCTAACAAACTCAATCGGTGTAACCTAATTCTTTGTACCTTCAATGAATCCCAATAAAAAAAAAGTATCAATATTTCAAAGAAATTAATCTTATGTGTTGCCTAAAGACATAAATTGTCCTGTGTATGTGTGCATAGAAATATAGATATTTTCAAGTTTAGGAAGTGAGATAAGGGAGTACAAAGCACAAGTATTCCTCATTTGTAACACCTACATATTTTAGCAAGCATGGGGAATTCATCCTCACAATTACATATTACATGTAGTGTAATAATTATGTTACAAGTAGCCATGACACTTTTGGAAGATGTTAAGGCAATTGGTTGCACTATCAAATACTGTTCATTCTATCTATTTAGCTGTAAGTTATATTTTTGCAACCATTAACCATCCCTACACCCCCATTCTTCCCACCCTCTGATTGTAATCATCATTCTGCTCTTTGTCTCCATGAAATCAACTGTCTTTAATATTTAGCTATCATCAACAATAAGTTAGGGTATGTGTTAAAGTAACTACAAGAGGGGAATTGGAATGTTCTTAACACAAAGCAATGTTAAATGCTTGAGGTTATGGATGCTACTACTTACTATCCGATTACGACTACTACTATTATTCCATATTGTATGCCATTGTGAAAACATCACATATAGCCTACAAAAATATATAATTATGTACCCATAATAATTAAAAATAAACAAATTTATCAGAAAGGATGGTACAGCAGACTTCATTCATGGAGACTACTACAGTGAAGTTTTGTAGGAGCAGAGAGAGAGCTCAAACATGAACGCAAAAACAAGTGGAGATTTATAGCCAAGAAGGATGGGGATTAATGAATAAAAAATTACTAAGAGGAAGCATAAGGAATAATGGGAACTCTGGCTAAATTTGTTCCACAGATTATTCCTGATGGCAGTCCAGGATGTAAGATATTGACAACAGGGAGTAAGGAATTTGGTCACATGTCAAGGGTGGAATATTTGTTCTAAACTAGCCCAGCAGGATTCTTGCCAAAACTGTACTAAGTAAGGAAAAACACACACCGAAACCCAAAATTTAGAGCCATGTGGAGAATAAAGTTCAGAGGAGTCTGACTAGAATTAAGTCAATTGTAAGTCATGTTACATCTTCATTGTACAGTAGATATTTTTCTGGTTATGTAGCTATTAGTGGACCCCAAACAGTGTATTCTTCTTCCAAATCTTACACCAGCTTAAACTGATGCATACATTGAAACATTTGGAGAGGAGTAAATAGAAAACATCATGAAGCAGGAGTCCAAAGCGGTTGAGAATGTGATGCTGGTAGCCCCACTTCCTCGCTAAATGTCTGAGCCCAGTACCTTAACTAGCTTTCTCATTTTCCTCTCTCATATTTGGGATAATGCACATGACGCTTTTGTGAGAAACAAGCTTAGTAATCTATCAACATTTTTCCTTTGTAAAATGCATAAAGTAGAAAACCACAAATGTAAGGACAAAAGCATAACTGAATAAACAAAAATTTTATTAACATGAAAATGCCATATTTACTATTGAAAAATTATGCTGAAAGTTTTTAGTGTGATGATAGGTGAGCATGAATAGATGTGACTAACTTTGCTTTACACATCTGTTGCTTTTAAGAACACAGCCTTCTCCCTTTCTATTAAAGTCTTCTAAAAGATGAAGACAGAAATTAATAATTCATTAAGAATCTTTCTTATACACTCTGATAATTTCATAGCATTTTTGATGCAGTTTAATGATAATCAGGAAATAAAGTGATTAATCCAATTTTCTTGATCAGGAAATGAAATGATTCAGAATATTCCTTAAAATCTTTACATTAAAATTTTGTAAATCTACTATGCTAGAAGTTGAGGTGAACATTTCTGTGTCCCTGATGATGCTTTTGAAGTCAATTAAAATATTTGGATTTGAACTTGTCCATCAACACACAGATAAGTAATAGATTTAAACAAATATCATACTTGTTTTTGATTAACAAAAGTGTGAGTATAATACTAACCAATTCAAAGAATTATAATGTTCTGTAATATTACTTAACTATAAATTTAGCTATTAACAATATTAATGGTTTAATTACTAACCATCATTCTTATTTTGATATATATGTAACAAAATTGAATGGACAATTTCTAAGGGAAATATTGTTGATGAAATTAGCCTGGTACTCTTTAATGAGCCTGACCCCTACAGTGTTGCATTGTTCTAAATTGGATCTGATCTGAAATCGAAAGTAATAATCATATTTATCTGCTTATC